CTTCCAGTGCGTGAGGTACCGCAAGAACCCAAATGCTTACGCGGTATTTAGAGGCAAAACCCCTGTAATCTGCCCGGAACTACCTGACTTCATGTTACTTGCAACACTTGCAGTTTCTAATTCGTTGCAGAAATCTTCCCAAGGTGTCCAAAAATTGCAATTTTCGACACTTAATCAAACAGTTTCTGTGATCTCCTTTCATTTTCTACTCTATTTTAAAAGCTCTGTCCTATAACAATTTGTTCTCAACACGGACGATCAATACACATACGTAAAACTTTCCTTTTGATTTCATCACCTATTATGACGACTAAGCAGCGAGAAGCCGCACACTCAGGGTTTTAGCGATCACAGGCAGGCTTACGGAATTAAAGCACTGGCTAGAAAGAGCTGTTAGCGGAAGATTCAAACAATACACCGAAAATTATTACTTGCTGGGTTGTTTCCAGAATCTGATTCAATAATTCTTCCTCTTCATCCGCTTCCCTGAAACAACCTAATAAACACGCAATACCGTGCAGCGCTACACTGATATTTGTTCAGTCAAAAATGACTCAACAACTCAAGAATCCGAAAACCCGCCAGTTGTTCTAACGTGAGCTGCTACCAGGATAGCACCTCAAATTCCATCCTGCCCACACACAAATGAACTAAATCCACCCATCCAATAGTAGGCGGGAGGTAACACGCAAACATCTTGTACCACATAAGCATACGAGACAATGGAAAAGTACATAAATCTACTGTACGACACTTCCTGAACCTTATGCCTCCTTTGCTCTCCTTTATGATACTGCTGCGTTTTTGCTGCCACTATTCGCTGGCAGTTCAGTGCGGATTCGAAATGGAACAGGATAAAATAGGAAAACAAAACAATTTTAGAAAACCTACTTCGCTCTGTTGAGGAAAACTACTAGGCGCAGGAAATCTGCAAAAATTTCAGTACATGATTTAGCCTGTTTGCTTAACCTACGTGCGCAGTGTAGTTAACTGAACAGCCAGGTGATGTGTGACCCAAAATGAAACACACAATAAGCCTTCAGTAACAGCAACAAACAGCCATAACCGCTGGGAGGAATTCGTTTTTACTACTTTTTAAGCCGGAAGTGAACAGCTGAATTAGCAAATAAGAACTGCGCGGGCTGCTCCAGTAAGCCACCAGCACTCCGCCGCAATAATTACAATTACAAAAATTCGACTCGGTTCGGCTGCTGGGCGACCAATGTTCGGAAATCGTTTAGCACCACTGCCAAGGCTATTACGCGTCACCAGGAACACTTGGCACTTTGCCAAACGCACCAGGCAGCGCTACCCAACATCTGACGACTGGACCGCGTGGTAGGAAGGTGATGGGTGGGGGAATTGGACACGACTGGGTCCTGGTTAATAGGTACGTAGATACAGCTGAGGGAGTCCGGTTGAAGTCAGGATAGTGGAGAGGAATGAAGGCGCCTGGTCAGCAGTTCAGGACGATAAATGATGACAGTGGTTGAGAGGTGATGGGTGCGCCGATGCAGCTCCGGAGGCAAGGATTGCGGGCAGGGTGGAGGAGGCGAACAAGGATGCTAGTAAGGAGCCCGAGACAAAAACTGCAAACGGCAGCAAAGAGAATCACTGGCGACGCGCACCAAGCCAGCCCGTGCGATCATGCGTTTTTGCAGTATTTCATACTGCAGTAAGGTCACTTGGAATCACAAATAAGTGGAATTTGTGACATGCAG